GTTTTTGGAGTTCGGAGGGCTGATGTCATTGCAAATTATATTTTGTTCTTTGGTATCCTCAACTTCACTATGATTAGTAATAATGTGTCTGGTATGGCATTTGGGGTTGCTGCTGTTGCGTCTTCAAGGCAGTTGTTGCTGGTGTTCTGAGATAGGAGTGAGGTTGCGGTGGCCTGAATAGTTTGCTTGTCACCATTTTGTGCCCCCCCCCAGTGGACCATATATTTTTTGTTATCGTTTCACTATTCATGCCATGTTTTTAACTTTTCTTCGATGATTAGTTTCTTCATATTCAGCCTTTTTAAAAATTCTTGTAGACTTTTATCCTTTTCGTTTCAAAAGCTGCTGATTTTAGCTTCCTGCGAAGGTCTCGGATCTTATGCTTTTCCTAGCGCAGTTCCTTCATCCACCAGTTTATTTCTGAATTTAAAAACTAGATTCTTACCTTGAATGCTTCTTTGTAGGTGTTTTGAATATAGCTAATAAATCTTTCATTTATTATATTGATTTCTTCTTTTGTTTTGCAGCTTTCTATATTTCGTATTCCTGCTTAAGACTCTTTTGGAATTTCTTTGTGTTATTTTATTGACCTTATATCGAGTTATACTTCTGATAACTGTAGATTCTCATAGGTTAAATGAAATGTACTTATGATCAGATTCTGCATGTTCGTTTAAGGTGCTTCTGTCTTGAATCTGGTTAGCTAGATGGAAGATTGTAATTGTTAAATCGGTCTAACCTTTGCTTCGGACATTATCCGAAAATGGCGTATCTGCTGCTCTTTTGTATAGGATTAAATTATTTGAGTTGAGAAATTCTTCTAGTCGTTCCCCTCTTGTATTTTCCGACTTATATCCTCAGAGGGTTTTGTGGCAGTTGAAATCTCCATGATAATGTGAGCATTTAAATTTCTGTTAAAGGCTATTAATGATGTTGAGAGATTTACCTCTTCTTTCGGGAAGATATAGACCTTGTTAAGAAAAGTTGAGACATTTCATTTCGGCAGTTATAATATCTCTTTGGGTAATGACTGATGTGGGGTTCCATTTATTAATTTAAAATTTTAAACACATTTAATGAATATTAAAGTTATGTTAGATTTTTCAAATATGGCAAAGTCACAAGGACTATCTTCCCAAGATGAGAGATGCCTTCGTGGAGGACTTTCTAAGATAAACTGACTCGTATTCACGATACACGTGGAAAAAAAAAACCATGAAAACCAGCCATGCCTCCGTAATGAGGACGGGCGTACAGATTACGTCCGAAGAAAAATGTGTTTGATCTGCTATAACAAGGATCCGAATCTTCTCTTCTAAAGTATTGTATATTTACACATATTGCGTTTGCGTCGTTCAATTAGTTCGCAGTTAATTAGTTCAGTTAGTTTTAAAATGAAAGATAACGTTTTATGTTGCGCCGAATGGCAACGTTTCTGAGAACTTGCAATTTTCTAGACCACTTGGATGATAAAAGTTCTTTGACTCATACACTGGCAGAATGTGACGAGCTATGTGGATGGTAAATGCACTAGTAACGCAATAAAGCAGATGCACAACGCAGTCAATGCAATAAAGCAGAACTCGAAATAAAAAGACTTAAATCAGAAAGTTTTAAACTATTATTCGCCGGCTTTTGGGTTCCGCGAGGGATTTTTCAAAAACTGAAATTTAATTTAATTTGAAAAAAATTCATAAAAGTTTCATACAACCCAATTCACTGGATTTAAGGATCCAACAAAATGCATTCGTAGGAAAGAGATCCTCGTCTTCATGAAGTTATTCTCATTTAAAACATAAACGTCTGTAACTTTAATGTAATTCAAATATTACTTGCGTCATGGTTTCCTTGCGTGAAAATAATGGATACTTTTTAGGCGACACAATTTACATTGTCGTAGTTTGCAGATCACGTAACGATAACTGACTTAAACAGCTAAACTTGAAACACGATTGACCAAAATTAAAAGTGTAGATGTAGAAATTTGCATATGAGGACGATTAACACAGAATTATTGCAGACCCAACCTGAGATGAATCTAAATTCTTTGGTTCTTGAAAAAAATTGTTGTTTACAGGATATCCAGGTTAAAATTGTTTAAAACATTACAGTTTTCTTAAATCTTATAAGTGGCAAACGGAAATTAGAATTATGCGAATTTGTTGATGCATAGGTAACTGAAAAATCTATGAAAAATAACCTCTTCAAAGGTTTTAAATAAACGAAATACAATCTAGAGATTTAATTAATGATTAAATTAGTAATAACATTTATACAGATTTTTCAGATTTCCTTTCAGAATTATTTTAATTATTCGCATTAAATTACAGGTTCATTTTTCAAAGAAATTACTTTCTTTTTCCGGGGAAGGAAACATGACAAATTAATTGTATAAGGTATTTCTCCTGCCTTCCAGCATGCCTTCGTGGTGTAATGGCGCGTATTCGAGAGGTCAGAGATTTGAGTGCCGGGGACGGCATTGCTCATTTTTCACATCTCTTGCTTCAAAAAAATCGTTATGTCTCTACAACTGTAATTTCAAAGGTATTCGAACCAGAGATCTTCCACTGCTAACTAGATTGCTAACCATTTACCTCAATAAAGCATGCGCGTGAGGAATGCGATAATTCCTTACAGTCATTCAAAAAGAAATCTTCTTGAGGTAGATATCCTCCAATGCTTTATCCTGCTAGCACTCAAGGATACCTGCATTAGGTAGTGAATAATCTACTTTAACTTGGATGTTATTTCAAAGGACGGACATATGCAATTTAATGCATTCGTCGGGAAAAAATGATTCTGTGTCATTTAGTCATTTAGCCGTCCTGTCACTGAGAACGTTTCCTGGGGTGCACCATAGGAAACACCGAATTGCACCCCACAAGAAAGAAGAAACTGTGTTAAATTTTGACTGAGAACACCCTGGGGGGGTGAAGGGATGAGAAGTTATCCAACTCCTCTCCTCTTTTCACCAAATTTCTCAAGAGAACTTTTCGTTTTGTCAGTATTTTAAGTGCCCTTATGCCACACAAGCACTGTATACTTCCACACATTCAAACCTTTTCCAGGACTCGAGCTCTTGTTAAAGGATGCGACACCCAGCAGTGCTAGCCATTATATCCATCAGGGCGGCAACGTCGATGTAATTATATTTGTTTTTCGTTTTTAAATTATAACCTTGATAGTTTTTATATGTTAATAGTCTAATTCCTTAAAAGAAACATTAAACAAAAATATTAAGTATTTTTAAATAAAAATAATTGTATTTGTATTTGGCAGAATTAAAAATGCTCTTAAGATTTAGAGATTTTTACATTCAAATTCTTAAACGAAGTTATTCCTCAATTTAAATTTTTAAGCGCATAATTTTTTAATTTATAATATAAGAAATAAGTAACTTGAAATTTTATAAATAATTTCTCAAGTAAAACTTACAAAGCAAATAATTTTCTAAATTCTATTAATAATTTAAAAAAATTTAAGCATGTTACGTATAATTTTCTTGAAGTGATATGTTACATGTCGTATTAACAACTCTTTTATTTAAGTTTCACTTATCGATTAAAATATCACTTATCGATATCAAATATCACTTATCGATTCAAGAAAAAATTATAAAATTCAAGAAATCATTTAATTTTTCAATAATTTATATTTTACTATACAATTGTACAAACAGATTTTTTAGCCTTAAAAATTTATTTAAAACATCTATTCATTCCTTTTGAGTATGTTACTCATTACATGGGAATTTGTCTTTTGAATTCAGCTTTTTAAAACACATTAGTAACTTTGTTAAGAAAATGCAAAGCTGCAATGAACAATGATAGTTTGAATTACAATAGAAACCTGTTGATTCCAGCATTAATTAAGCTTAGTTCCTCATTCTGAGACGCAAATATGTGAATGTAAATACTCTTTTTCTTATTAGTCATGAACATTTTGACGTAGAAGGACAGGAATCGTAAAAATTCCTCTACGGAAAATGTAGTAGCTATTAGACTCATATTTCAGCACAATGATGGCCAAAAAATTGTTCATACTCCTTTTCCTTCTTTTTTCTTTTTCAGAATTCGGTATTAAAAGCATTGTTTTTATCATTTTATTAGAATGTCATTCAAATACCAATAATTACTCCTTTATCTAGAAATATTCTGGGCAGAAATCTTTCACTTAACGCGGTTTGGATTAGTGTCTTCGAATTAACCCTTTTTTATTGAATGCAACTTGTTACTTACTTAACACGGGGTGAACTTTACGTAACACAATCTAAATAATATTTTTATGAAGGTCACAGTTACAGTTGAATCACACATATTTCCAGTTTATGGGCTTTTGATCTTGTTACTGATATGTATCGAAGACTGCGGTCAGAGTCGCATTTTAGTTATTGTTTACATTATTAAAAGGAAAGCTTTAGTTCAATTTTCCGCTTTGAAAGATGTTAACAAAGCTGTAAACAGAAATGATTTTCTTGGCAACTCTGAGTGGTTTGAAAATGATTTAAAATGTGTACTGGATTTCATAATATGAGAATTCTAGGTGAATATTCAAATGCTGATGTAGAACTGGATCCCAATATGAAAAAAGTATTCATTTTCATAATATGGCTGATAATGCAATGAACTGCTGTAAGGAAAAGTAGGAAAGAATAGATGTTCAGATTGCTTTAGTATTTTTTTTTCAATTCGCGTGTAGCCTAATTTTTCACCCTTCAATGTCAGTGTTTTTCTAAAAAATACTGTGTTGAACTTTTTCTTGGAGCCACAGCTCCTAGTGACTTTTTGGCGAGCTTACTACAATTTATCTTCTTCTCGTTTCATTAATTTTGCAGCATATTGCGCAAAAAAGTTTTAGACCAAACTGGTCTTTTTTTTATATAGTACTTACTACCTAGCTTTTTAATTACATATATACAGAGAGAGAGAAAAATTAAGCTGTGCTTGTATTATAAAAGTTATAATTTGTTTGTGTCTTACGATACTTTTTTTTAATTTCAGGTGAGCAGTTAAAGAAATGCATAGGAAGGAAATGGTAAGAAATGCAGGTGCTCCGAAAAGCGTATACAGGCTTTGACCGCTGACCAATGCACTTAATTTTCCCTCCTGCGTCCTTCCTCCTTCATTCATTATTTCAGGTTGGTTTAACCAACTTGAAATAAGGAATGAAATTAGATAAAGTTCTGAGACAAGAAAATGCATGTTAAAAATGCTGTAAATTGGCAAATGCTGTTAAAGGTTGCAAAGATAGTATAGAGTTTCAGACAATTCCACCTATGCAGATTACCATCCCTCTTAGAAAAGTTTGAAGCTGATGGAACTGTTTAAAATGTCCTCAGAAGTGTTCTGGAAGATAGCAAATATCGAGAAGCCACAAAAGGATATATGTAATGTTAGTAGTGTTATAGAAAAAATGAAAAGTCCCACAAGGAGGGGAACAAAAACAAGTCCCACAAGGATGAACAGAAAATATCAACATGCCCCACAAGGATGAATGCAGTGTTATAGAAAAGTAATGGGGAGCCCCAAAAGGGCAAGGAACGGAAAAACAAATCCCAAAAGGATGAATAGAAAATGTCACAAGCCCCACGAGGATGTTCTGGAAGGTAGCAAATATCAATAAACCCCTCAAGAATGAAGAGCCCCACAAAGACAAAGAACGGAAAAACAAATCCCACAAGGATGAACAGAAAATATCACCAAGCCCCACGAGGATGTTCTGGAAGACTGCAAATATCAAGAAACTTATCAAGGATGAATGTAGTGTTATTGAAGAGAAATGAAAAGCTCCCCAAGAATGAGAAATACAAAAAAAAAAAAAAAAATCCCACAAGGACGAATAGAAAATATCAATAAGCCTGACAAGTTATCTGGACAACAGCAAATATCAACAATTCCACAAGCTGATGGAAACATATCGACAGATTTGAAGAAAATCTGTGTCACAAGATGGAAATTCAAAAGCATGTGCTCATCGCATTTTCAGCTTTGATATTGAAAATACAAGACATTTCAAGACTAATTCATACTCCCATAGTGCAGATAACCCGGATCAACGAATACGGTTTATGCATGTGGTACGTGACAAGATGTAGACAGGACACAGTTTCCAAAGAAAAATGTATGGAGCGAGGAAGCTACATTTAAAAGTAGGTGTTGAAAAAAGAAATTATTCATTTTCTCAGATTATTTGGAAAATAAACCATATATTACTAACTGACTTTATGAGCATTCAACGGATATGAATAACGTTTTCGCATACTGTGCAGCTAAATGAATAGCATATGTACAGTTGTTCAAAAAAGTCATTACTAGACTTTTATTTTCACAACCGATGATCGTAGACATATACTTTCAAACACAGAAGTGTTTTAAATGATGCAAATATTCATGATGTGGCATTTTTTAAATTAAAAAACATCAGTTTTATAAAAATTACAAAATTTAACTTTTGCTACAATCTTCCGGATTTTTATATTTATATTTAGGAAAATTTTATGTCCATTATGAAAAATAAAACACAAAACTTTTGACTCTCGGACGACAAAAACTGACCCAGATATTTAATTTGAAAATTTGAGAATTTCCAATTTACGTTGAGAGGCTAGTTAATAAATATATCAGACAAATTTTAGATTTATTTTTTCCTTTAAATGACATTCACTGATATTCTTTTGAGATTTACTAATTTATTTTAAATTCCAATTTTTGCCTATAAATGATAGGTTAGGATACGTTATTTGAATATGGCAAAGTACCCGAGGGCTATCTGCTTAAGGAAAGGAATGCCTTCGCGAAGAACTTTCATGGCTCGTATTCTTCATGTTACACACGGTGAAACGATGAAAACCTACGACGCAGCCAACTTTTTCGCCTAATATTGAATCCAGATCGAACTACCAGTATTCAGCGATCTTAATAATTGAGCGTCTGCTGGGGACCTAGTCAAAAAAGGAAAGTTTTGGAGCATTTAAAAAAGTACCATTGTGTCTAGTTTTTAGAGTCAAAAATGAAAAAAGTAATGATGTGTATCCAGAAAAAAAAAAAAAAGAAAAAAAAAATAGTGTCATTTATATAGAAGCTTTACCTAAAATATGCTTTTTAAGTAATTATTATGATTATTATTATTAGTAGTGGTAATAGCAATATTGTTATTTCCAGATAACTTCAACAGATCAAGTTTATACGTTATCGACCTTTAATACTTTTTTTATAAAGTACCTTCCCTTCTCGTTACACACTTTCAGAAACGCAGAACCGTCTTGTATTTGGATTAATGTGGTATTCAAGCGAACATTACCCCGAGCCAATGTTTATAAGACAATATAGCACTCGGAAATGTAAATGTTGACTTCTTTAGTGCTGCTGATATTTATAAAAATTATCATTAGATGCATTATAAAATAATATAAATTATACATAAAAAGACTTTATTGTACATATTTGTACAGATTATTAAAAATCGTGCTGTTCTTTAAATAGTTTATTTTCTACACTGTGATGTGCTTTTACTATAATCTGATAAATCAAGGAAACCAAATAAAGTATATGTTAACTAATAAGCATACTTAATTTTCAAAACTCTGTTAATAATATTGCCTGATAAGCGGATTGTACGGATTATACACCTATTAAATTATACACATTTTTTGTTGCACGTTATTTAAACTTATTTCCTCGAATTTCATTAGAGACATATTTCTAACTCAATCAATTCAGTTCTCACTTCGCTGCAAAGCAAAAATACATAACAAGTCAATCTTCATTAAAAATTGTAAAATACAGAAGAATCTAAAAACACCAGATATAGTTAAAAACAGTTAAAAAAACAATATTTAAAATTAAAATTAAAGTTTTTTCGTAAAATTAAGCAACTCGGCCAGCGGGCAGGAAGATGTGTTTTTGGTGCACAAAATCTAAAGCTTTCTTTTGATCTCACTTGGCAAAAAGACATTGAAATTGGTGCACAAACTGACTTAATTCACTATTCTATTCTATTAAGAGTTTCAAAAGTAAACAAATGGTAACCTCTTTAGGTTTAGTGCCACATAAATTTTTAAATTGTTGATAATTTTACAACTATTGCATGCAGAATAACCAAAGGCTTTAAAACTTTAACCCGAACATAGGAACAACATAATTCATACACTTTTAGAGCAAAAAATGCACAATTTACCACATATAAGACTGATAAAACTGAGCTCTTCGAGTCCGTAACAGAGTCTGTATATATTTATATATGTTTGGTGCAGCTGATTACAACCAAAAAGGGAGATGCACAACTACAGATTATAGCAGTCCAATATACAAAATTTCATTATTCTGAGGTTTCTCTTGATTTATGCAAATTGTATACACACCTACGTCCGTAGTACCGATGTCAAGGAAAAATAGTCTCTTCTAAATCCATTTTACAAACAGTTTTCGAAAAAAAAATCCTTTATTCTGTCCGTACGTACGTACAGATATCGTACATACAAAACGTAGATATAAAAACATCGTTCAAATGGATTCGAGAGCGGTCAAAATAGATATTTTCGTTGAAATATCATTTTTCATCACTCGTGCTATAAAAATATCCTAATGACTCTACACTTTAAGAGACAACGTGAATGATAGATATTCTATAATGTAACACAACGTGAAGAATGAAAAAGTACAGATAGTATTATGAAGTTAAAAAATCGTTTTTATATTAATAACTACATTATTTAAATAATATAAAAAGGTATTTTATGAGTTAAATGTAATTTAAGAGTTTTATTATCTTTAATCAAAACTATTAATAACAAATAATCATCTTGGAATGTTTGTGCTTCAGATTTTGATATATAAAACATGTTTTAATATTTTATTTCCCATAAATATTTAAATTCCTGTTTCTAATTATTATAACTCGATTTTAGTTGTGAATTACACAAGACTTCTAGGTAAGCAAATATTTATTCCTTACCTATAATTTCCAAATGAAAATGTGTTTACTGAACGAAATGTAAAGCAAGTTAGAAAACACGTTGCCCTGCATGTGAAAACTTTCAAAATGTCACTCCTAAACGACTGATTAAAAAAGAATACATAGTTGAGTAATCTTTTCAAGGTAATTCTACGTACCTTACAACTACCTTTTTCAAAATCTTTTTCATTTTTATGGAATGTTCTGACACATTTTATTGTTACTGAATTATTGATACTAGACAATTCTAATTTTTTAAAACTTTTTTTTTTTTTTTTTTTACTTTCCACAATTGATTTTTGTTTATTTGTTTGTTTTTTATTTTTTTCCTGTTTCTTTATTTTTAAATGTGAATCCAAGAATACTTTTGGCACAGACGTTTTTCTAGGAAGACGAACTAATGAAGGTGGGAAAAAAAAGTCGTTTGTTTCCGTTTGAGAAATAAAAGTTTGTTTAGTCTTCCATGGCATATTATTAACTATCACAAATTAAATGTACTGTGTGAAGTAAGATAGCTGAAATATATGAATATAATGCGTTACATAGCAGAAACTTCTTATTTTTATTAAATGAAAACATTTAGCTATAATTCTCTGATTAAGAAAAGTTTTTGTACTAAGAATTTAACATTTTTTCCTGTACAAAGGTCGAAAATATTTCCCTCCTGATACAGCTTCCGTAAAATTTTATCATACAAAATTTAATCAAGATTAAATTTATTGCTTGTGTTTTTACGGTAAAAATAAAATTTAAAAAAAATCTGAAGGTTTTTCAGATAATTCCAAACGGACTTTTTTTAACGTTTTGTGTGTTACCTTTATTTAGTAAATATCATGTTCTTTGCACTTTATAAGTACCTTCTTCTTTGCACCTTCGTACCTTTTTGGCGTGCCTTCATAGTGTGGTGGTCTGCACACTGGGCCGGTATCCAAGAGGTCCAGGGTTCGATTCCCGGCGAAGACGTTGTTAATTTTTCATCTTTCCTGCTTCCAAAACACCTAATGTCTCTACAGTGGCGCCCGAACTAAAAGGGTTGTGGGTGATGACTCTTCACAGCCAGGATTCGGCGATTGCGTCCCCTAAAAACCACAGTCGTCCTTTGAAAGGGGGAGTATATAAGGTATTTCTCCCGCCTTCTTGGCGTGCCTTCGTGGTGTAGTGGTTCTGCACGCTGGGCCGGTATTTCCAAAGGTCCGTTGTTCGATTCCCGGCGAAGGCGGTTGCTAATTTTTCTTCTTTCCTGCTTCCAAAAAATCCTAATGTCTCTACAACTTAAACCATAAAATTCAAATCAACAGCAATACCACAAACTAATTTAAAAAGAGCATATCGTTAGAATTTCTGATACATAGTCTCGCGCGCTTTTTTTTTTTTTTTTTTTTTTTTCCATACAGTGTTGCCATTGCTCGCTTTGAAATCCTTGAGTTTCTTAATCAAAAACTCGTAAATGCTTTAGAAAATATAAAATAGATAATAAAACAAATCCCAAAATCGAAATTTGGGCTTCCAGATATCCACATTCGGGCGGAAAGGTACGTTATTCAAAATTTGATGGCTCTAGATACCGTCGTTTTGTCACAATGCGAGAAACATACATACATTTATGCAGATTCTTCATTATTTGATTTCTTTAAATATAATACAGGATGATAATATTTGGTAGCAACAATTTGAAAAGTGAAACGCCAAAAAATGCCAAAACGAAATTAATAGCCCTTTTGAGCTAATACCCTTTGGTCAGAAAGTAAAAAAAAAAAAAAAAAAAAGCTAAGCAAAACTGCCAGCTGAATTTGTCGATAAAAACTAAAATTTCAGCAACAACTTATAGTTAGCAAAGTATTCATTCTATTAGGTAGTTTACACTAAGAACAGAGCGGATATTAATGTTGATCCTCAATCTGCACGGTCGCATTTTTATTTCCGTATCACGTTTTAAGTCAAAAGTCGATCGTACATGCACGTACAGTAATTGGCCAACCCTGTGCTGTAGAATCCATGTGGTTGTCAATTTCTGTGAACATTTAAATTTTACTTGTACGCAACTGTTACAAGGCATTATCGCCTTTTCTTATACGTGATGTTGTTAAGTAAGCAATTAGCATATCCAACTAGCAGGTCGAATACCCGTGGTTCGAATTCAGGTGAGGGAAAGGTTGGTTTTTCCCCAAGAATTCTACCATACTCTACCAGTTGCAGAATAATTTTTGTTTTAAATTTTTCTGGATCAATGCTAGAGATAAAACTATAAAACGACATTGACAGACGAAGGTTAGAATTATTTTATCAAATATTATCAAGCCATTATGGAAGAAAGAAATTTGGATCCCAAACTAAAGCTGAAACCCAGTCTTTGCAACTTTAGAAGGTTGAGAAATCAGCTTAGGTTTGCTTTAATGCAAGCGGTTAAAATTAGCAAAGTTTGTTTCGGGTGAAATGATATTTTTGACCACCTTGTCCGTAATCAGGAAAGATATTAATACTTCAGAAGTTTTTTAAATGATCTGAAATTATCCGTAACTGAACATGAAAGCTAAGTTACAAATATTTCTCTTTCTTTTCTTTTTTTCTTTTGCCTAAACGGTGAGCTGGAAATTTTAAACAACATGCATCAAGGAAACAAATATGGAAAAGGAAAACAGAGATGGCGAATCTGCTAATTAAATAACTGGTTTTTATATTGTGACGTTTCTATTTATTCGAATTTCTTTAGATTTTAAATTTACAATGTGTTATGTATTTTTAACAAGGATTAAGCCATGTAATACATATAAGACGCATTATGTTAAGTATCATCTAAAAAAGTCACTACCTATTTAAGAAATATAATACAATAAAATCTCCATTTACGAACTTAATCCATTCCTGAAGGCCGTTTGTCAACCGAAACATTGGAATTAACGTAAAACGGATTAAATTTCGTCTCTGGACTACATGTAATTGCTTATTTAAACTTTGCAATAATACTTTGTGCCTAAGCTCATAACCCAAAACCAGTTGAAATCTATTGTTGTGTTGTTTGTTGTTGTGACTTACCTCGGTTGTCTGAGAACAACATCAGAACAAGCCTACGAAATTTCTCATGGCAAGAAGTACAAAACTGCGCTTATTGTTGGCAAGAGCCTTGAGCACCATATAGGCGACAGTACGACTTTGCTCAGTTCTGACCCAGATTTTGATGCAGAGCAATCTGGAGAGCGGGTATGAGGGTCTCCTACTCCTATCTCCCTACCACAACCATACGAGAGGACTTTTGGCTCATTGAGTATTTAAAATGCCTACATGCCGCACAGACCCTATACATTTACAGACATCCATGCCTTCTCCGGGATTCACACCCGAGCCCATCGGCACTGCAATCAGCGTCGCTAACCACTATCCCGGTTTGGCTGTACCAACTGAAATTTTTAAATATTAAAAAAATGATAATCATATTATTAAACAGATAAAATAGACAAAAACTGAATTTAAATTTACTGTATGTGATACGAAGAATAATTAAATACAAAAGTAGAATTTTTTTTT